TGTATGTTCTTTGATTCTCTTTCTCGCCCTCTATAGACCATTCAGCCCCCCATGGGTCCCCATCCATGTTATTAGAACTAACAAACTGAATTTTTTATAACATTACTCGTCTATTTGATGAAAAATCTCTCTCTCTCTCTCTCTCACACACACCATGCTTAACAAACTGAATTTTTTATGACATTATCACTCTACTATCTCTCTCTTACACCTGAGGTAAGACTATTTTCCCCACCCTCTCCTATGATGTCTCTATTCATTGCATCGATAAACCCATGCATAAAAGTCATAAACAGTGATCTCGAAAATTTTGACTATGCTCACGTATCTCTTATCTTATACACATAAACCCATGCACAAAGTCCTTGACAATCAATCCCCAAATTTTTGACTTTTCACATTTTTCCTCTGCTTTCAACGAGCCTCCCCTGCTTTGAAGCCATCTAATCTAGGGTAAAAGTCCTCAGCACCACCACACTTTTCCTGTGCAAGAGCAGATGGTTTCAAAGTTCAAACCCAAGCCTCTTTCCCAAAACGCCAGTCCGGCTTCGTTTGAAATTTCAGAGGATCGACACTTGCTTTCCTCTCCTGAGAAGATTTACGCTCATACGCATGATCGTCCCTCTTCCTATTCCTAAAAATATAGAGAGAGAGACAGGTGACCTTTCCATAAGTGCCAATATACCACAAGAAGAAGGGGATGTGAAGGATAGTGGAAAAAAGCATATCATGTTTCCAAAAGGACCAACTTTTCAACTATATTAATTCTACGTTTGTGAACATTTGAAAACGTGTGCATTAAGTTGGTCCTCCACTTTTCTGGGCTTAGTGGAATCTAGAGAGAGAGAGCCCCTCATTTTTTTAGAGTACCGAGGATCTGAGATAGTGTGTGTACATTTTTCTAAAGAACTGGGTTTCTATGCAGCCTAGCCCGCATACGTAAGAACGTGGGCCTCTTAATGAATCTATTTTTTTGATGGATTTTTGGACTTAATTTTTAAAGACATGTAATCTCTAACATGGAGATCGTGAATATGAAAAAATAAACAACTTTTAAAAACTAGATATAATAATCTTAGTAAGAAAACATTTGGACAGTTAGTTTCCATTGTTTTTAGATGGAACACCTGCTTGCATCCATCTTTAAGATGGATGCTTTAAACTTTGTGGACCTCATATATAGAAATCCTGTCCAGCCCACATGAAACAATTTTCCTTTTCTAAAATACCATCTATTAGAGAGAGAGAGAGCATCATTTTTCCAAAGTACCCAGGATTTGAGAGAGGGAGAATACATCATTTTTCAAAAGTACCAAGAATTTGATAGAGAGAGAGAGCATCATATTTCAAAAGTACCAAAGGAGAGAGAGGGGGCGAGCGTTTGTAAACGTTTGTAGGTAGAGAGAGAGAGAGAAAGCATCATTTTTCCTAAGTATCAAGGATAGTGTGCATTTTTCTGAAGTAACGAGGATTAGAGAGAGAGAGAGAGTACAATTTTACCCAAAGTACCTGCGATTTAAGGGGAGAGAACATTTTTCAAAGCACCAAGAATTAGAGAGAGAGAGAGCACCATTATTCCGAAGTACCAAAGGGGAGAGAGAGAGAGTGTGTGTCGTGTGTTTAAAACGTGTGTAATGGTAGTCCTCATTTTTTTTGACCACCATTTCTCTCTCTCCATTTCTGAGTTTCTAACCAATGCATCAAACCCCGCGAAACCCTAATTTTGATACTTTTCGTATACAAAACCCCTGCCTGCTGATCCTTTCCACACGTGTCGGTGGGCCGCTTCTTTTGACTCGATAGTACCTCTTTTTATTTCTTTTGGTGGACGGTCAATTTGTTGGTCTCACGTGATTTGGGGAATCTGGACCGTCCATCCGATTCTTCTCATCAATTTGAACTCGTCTAAGGAAATGTAACGTTGTCTAAATAAATTCAACTTTTTTTATAAATGACCGTAAGACCCTAGAATTCTTGATCAAAGTGCCATTGTCTTTCTTGGAATGACAGAACATCCTTAATCCCGGCTCATGGGACACATGTGGAATGGTGTGGGAGGAGTATAAAAGATATCCACGATATGTGTGGGATACAAACAGTTGAAATGGGCGTTCAAAATGAACCATTCCTCTACTAGGGTCGAAATTTGCATATTTTTTCGCTCTTTTGCAGGATATGAAGCAAACATGGCTTTTTCTTTTTTTTCTTTTTTTTTTTTGTTTTGAGTAAATCAGTAGAGAAGAAAGCCCCCTATACCTTTTTCATGAATAAAAGAAAAGGAATTACAACTCGCTATTTCACAACCCATCAATAGGGCATTTGAAGCAAACATTAAACAATCAAGCCCAATAATACAAAACATTAGAGTAGTGTATATACATTAGCACATTTGCTAATTTCATTGACAGTACGCTTCTTGTTGATGTACAGTACGCCATGCTTTAGAGTATACTACAACGCACTATTATTTTATTTTTTTGACCAAGTTAACAACTTAATTAATCTAAAAAAGGAATTACAAGTGATTTACGTCCTCATGGGCCTCAATCAAAGACAACTGCACTCCTCTCTTAGCTAAAGAATCAGCCCAAGCGTTTGCTTCCCTATAAACATATTGATAATACACTATCAAACCCTATGCCAAATCAAGAATCTCACACCACAAAGGTTTTAAGGCCCATGGCACACGTAGCACGATAGAACACCATTTGATAACATTCAAGGAGTCACCCTCTGCAACACATGGCAGCCCTAAATTCTTTGATTTGAGGAAGGTAAGCCCTTGAAGAAGAGCTGCTAGTTCAGCGTGGTTGGCTGACGCCACACCTAGAGGCCCCGAAAAACAAAAAATGACATGGTTTGTGGAGTCTCTCACAATACCTCCAATCCCTGCTTCACCTGGGTTGCAATACGAACTCCCATCAAAGTTCAACTTAAGCAAATCATGTAGTGGAGGAACCAACCTTCCCAATAGTACACTCTTGACAACCTTTAAATGGCCAAGGTTATGAAAATTTAACCAAACATTTACCTGACACTCCTTACTAATACTCAACCAACTCCAAACATAATGAAATATGTTATCGAGAAAGCTTTCCAAAGCCAAGGCAGACCTTTCAAAAACTCTCCTGTTTTTTTTCTTCCAAATCTCCCATAGAATTGCCCCTCTCACCACTTTCCAAATTAATATTCCTACTTCTGGAAAACATTGGAAAGTTAGCTGACTTACTAATCCCTCCACAAATTGAGATAAAGCCACGCTAATACCCAACCTGCTCAAAAAAGCATTCCAAATCCTCGTACTGAAGGGACAATGAATAAACAAGTGAGAACCTGTTTCTCCATCTCCTTGACATAGTAAGCACACATTAGGCAGAATCCTACCACGCATAATAAGATTGTCAATAGTGAGCACTCTATCCTACCACGCTTAATAAGATTGTCAATAGTGAGCACTCTATCTTGGGGCGCCAACAATACAAATACTGGCACCTTGTATGGAATTGGCCATCTCCATGACCAGGTTAACTGAGGCATTGACCATCTCCACCTGTCAAGAAAAAAGAGAGAGTAAATCGATTTAACAGTAAATTGGCCATCCGCCTCAATGTCCCAAATTATTTCATCTTTCATATCCCTTGAGAAGTAGGCCTCCCCTAGCAACTTCAATAAACTAGTATAACAGTCCAGGAGATTGTTATCCACTCTATCTTGAGGGAAACGTAAATTCCTGACTGCCCCCAACCTCGTAAACTTCAGCCAGGGTTGCCTCTTGATTTTCCGCCTTTTGAAAGAGGTCCGGGTATAACAGCTTCAATGCACTCTACTATTGTAGTGTGGGCTGATCTTCCTCTGACAAACAAGAGCGAACTTAAAGCAGAACAATTGCTCATCACCACCGTCTGTTCGAGCAAAGCAACATTGATAGCATATCTGACTACCCAGCACTACACTGATCTTCCACTAACAAATAAGAGCATACTTAAAGTAGAACAACAACTCATCTCGAGGTACAAATCAACCAAAGCAAAAAAAATCGAATCGGGACGGTTAACTGGATATGAAGCCAAAAGCGGTTCAACTGGCTTAACTGGTAAACTAGTCGGTTTAATCAGTCTAACCAGATAAGTCCCAGACAGTCAAAAAAATGTAATAAAATAAAATAAAAAAACAAAAAAATCTAATAAAATATGAAAATTTTATTTAAAGCATGATTAAGTAAAGCACATCCAAATGAAGTTGAAAATTAATAAAAAAAAAAAAATTTAAAAAACCAAATTTGAAATAATGAAAAATATTAAAAAAATACATTACAAACAAAATCCTTTATTTTTTGAAATTTTATATTTTTTTTGAATTTTTTTTAAAATACTCATCCGGTTCACCAAAGCCGACCGAAACCGAAACTAGTCAGTAGTCAATTCCGATCTATCCGAGTCTAACCGAGCGATTAAAATATGAACCGCCTGATTTTTCCTGCACTCAAATCAACACTTGATAGTGTATCTGACTACTGAATACTGTACCCTATACTAATGTCAAAAAAAAAAAAAAAATTGTACCCTATATTGTTTGATACTTTCCCCCTAGTTTACATACCATACCATTTCCTATGTGCAAGGTCATGACAACTTGGGATTTGTTGTCACCCCCTAATAGAAGATGAGAGGGTAAATTGGTCAATACGCGGGGGCTCCGCCGATATATTGGAACACTTGGACCAAACCGACTCCAAAGTCGTATGGATGGACCTTTTCGTTTTTGGGGAAATAACTCAGGGGACTTACTCGTATTTAGTAAAAAAAGACGGGGGACAAACTCGTAATTGATCACAAGGAGATCCTACTCTGCTGCTTGCGTCCGCGTCTATGAGTAGCTCAGGATCCGACAGCTGGCAGGATGACCCAGATAATGACGTCATCAAACCCGGTGAAAATATAACGGCCAGTCGTCGATCCCGTCTCTCTCTCTCTCTACTTTGTCTCTCTCTAAAATCTCCCCTTTTTATTGGCCAGAGAGCCTCACTGCAAAAGAGACTTCACAAACTCGTCACCCCCTCTCTCTCTCTCTCTCTCTTCTATCTCTTCTTTCTCTCTCTTCTTCTTCTACTTCTTCTCTCTATTAGTGCATGGACAGGAAGGAGATGAGAATTGTTGACACAGGAGAGTTTTACAGGCCAAATTCAGGTGTTTTGCTGCCGATTAGAGTCAATTCAGATGACATGGATCTGAGTAACAAGGAAGAGAGAGGATCGATCGAGGAGATTAATTTCTTCTCCAATCGAACGAGTTTTAGGCAAGCTGAGAAGGCTGGAGAGGTGCCGGAATCAAGTGGACGGAACCCCAATCTTGAATCGGACAGAGAAGGATCGAAGCTGATTGATTTGAATGTAAGAAATTCAGTGACTCTAGTTGTCTATTGATGATTATCTTTCCAGCTTTAATTGATCAATTTTATTGTAAACTTGTAATTTAACTACTGGGTCTCATTTTATCTAGATTTTATTGAACAGATGACAAAATTCATTTGAGATCATCTATTTGGAACTAGTCAATTAGCGTTTCTCAATTTCACAACACCCTAAAAAGAAAAAGAAAAAGAAAAAGAAAAATCTCAATTTTCATATCCGTTCACTTAAATGATTATTTACTTCATTTTTTTCTTCCTCGGCTTGATTGGGTTCTCGTAAAATTCCAATTTACAATAATTGAAACTCCCAATATAACTGAGTTTTCATGGAATTTCAGTATAGTTTGTATTACACCACTGATTTTGATTAGAAATTGCTCTTTGTTTGTTCTAAAGTGCGTGAACATTGGTTTTATTGCAGGCTGGCTTGCATCTTATGGCAAATTCAGAAAATGGACAATCGCTAACCAATCGGTGGTCCACACTAGATCAAAACAACAGGAATGAGGTCAATTTTTTATGATTTGTTTTTTCTTCAGTGGTCACAAATGATACAGTTTTTTTTTTTTTAATTCTAAGAGTTATAGGGTCTGAAATGAATTTTCATCATAGATGGCAGAGCTTCAAGCTGAATTGAACCGCCTGAACAATGAAAACCAGCAATTGAGAGGTGAGCTCGATCGGATGGTGAAAAACTACAGTGCCTTGCACATGCAATTCGTTTCAGCCATGGAACAAAAAAATCAGCAAGCTTCAAACAAAAAAGAAATGGTACTTGACTAATTTCCTTTCCTTTTAATTTAATTGAATGAAATCTGATTTATGCAACTTTTTTCTTGAATTTATTCGATCCTTGAATAATTGGTAAATATATGCAACAAAGACAATTACTGGAGCAATCAAAAATCAATTCTGAAAAAAATCCAATGTGTGAATATTGGGTTTATTTTTATTTTTCAATTTTCAGAAGCTCTATAATAAATAAATAAATAAATGTTCTTTAAAATCTGTGTCTCCCAGTTTGGAATCAATTTTCCAGCTTCCTCGAAGCTGATTTCCTGAACCACTTTAAAAGAATGTAAAGAGAAGAACAGGTGTCCACATTAATGGTAAATCAATATAAACAGTAGTTATTTTTATTAAATAATTCGAATTTGATGGGTTTACTAAAATATTTATTCCTGTCGGATTTAACTAAACGAAAATAAATACTATTCGATGGGTTGTCTTCTAGGTCTCTTCCTGCAGTCTTAATGGACCAGAAATCCAAGCATGTTTTTATGATTTAATTGCTTTTCTTATTTTTATAAAATAAAAAATAATTTCTAGGGATCAGAAATATTGAGAAAACAAAAAGAAATTAGTCCGAACTATTGACTCTTGATAACTATGCCGACCATTGTAGAGCAGGTGAATTTCTATGAAATTCAAATCAAATAATCTTTTTTTAACGTATCTTTTAAGGTTTTTTTTTTATTATTATTACAAAGTAGATAAGTCAATAACTGGACGGTACAGATTTTCCCCAGATGCAAACCTGTGCATCTTGGAACCAGCACCGCTCCTGCTGATACGCGATCTGGACCGTCCATGTAAAATGGTGGTAGATTTAGACGGTACAAGTAGCCCCCGTGCATCATGCAATGCGCACGTGCTCTTCCTTTAAGGCTGAAAAGTTTGGCCTTGGAGAGTAATGGAAGGTAAGGCATAGCACCAATTGAGGAATAAACAATCGAGAAAATATCAAGACAAATAACCCCGGAAAATATATATATATAAAAAAGAGAATATCAATGAAATATATTAAGGGTAGTAGAAAAATGAATTGATGAATAATGTTGTAAAGAACGGAGGCCCCTAGTCCTCAAATTTTTTTTTTTTTTTGAATTGCCTGGTCGACTCAAGATCTGCCCGAGACAAGCTAGATTATGATCAGAATTTTTTCCTAAATTTTTATTAAATTTACGATGTCGCCTATCAAACTCGGGTCAGACTTGGTGCACTCAGACTGTTGGCTGCCGACTCGTTCCGTTATTTAAAACACTGCTTTAAAATCTCTATGTGTGGATATAATTCAAGAGTATTCCAATTGTGGACATATTTTTGGTATTATAGTAGTCTTCTTAATGTTATTTTTAATAGTTTTTTTTTTTTTGGGTAATCACTTTCATAATAAATCAGAAATTTAAAGAAATGATCCTGTGCTTTTTTATGATTGAAAGGCCGATTTTGTGTATGAGTCGCTTAAAATGACAAAACAACTTTCAATGTCAAAAAGAAGAAGAAATGCTCCTTTAAAAAAGAGTCAAAAAGGAGAGGAAAAAAGAAGAAAAGTCCCATACGAACCTTAGTAGAACCATCTTTAAAAAGGATCCTCCAAAATTTTCCAAAGGGGTCTGAAATGCTTGGCTTTTCCTTGATTGACCATCTCTCTCTCTCTCTCTCTCTCTCTCTCCACACATACATTTCATGTGGCTCTAACTCTTTGATATATTTCCCTCTCTATCACACAACACATTTCATGTGGCTCTGGCTTTTTGACGTCTGAACTTTCTCTCTCACACACAAACCCACCCACAAACCCACACATGCACAATTATTTCATGTAATTTTTGCTCTCTGGTTCTCTCTCTCTCATTTTGATCTCAATATCCATGTCACATTGACATCAAATCTCTAATCCTTGCAAACATTTCCATTCATGCATTGGAGAACAAAATCTTCTATTCTCTCTCCCTCTCTCTGTCTCTAACACATTAGCTTAACAGATTGACGATAAAAATGGCGTGAGGAGCCCGGAATCAATACAAGAAGGCAATAAAATAGTGGAGCAGCAATTCTTAGATCTCCACCCATCAATTGAAGAAACCACTCAATCTGAGAACAATGCCGAAGAGGTGGTTTCATCTAAGAAAAGGAAACCAGTGGATGAGAGTCCTGAGAGAGAAAGAGCTTCTCAGACTTGGGAACCATCAATTAATGGAAATAACAATAATAAGATGTTGAAGCAAGGAATGATGAAGGGAGTGGAGGAAACAAGTGCGATGAATCCTTGCAGGAAAGCTAGGGTTTCCGTTAGAGCAAGGTCCGAAGCGCCCATGGTAAGTGCTTCTCTCTTGACTCTTAAGATAATTTTTTGATTCTCTCTCATCTCTCTCTATGTTTTGTGATATTTAGGAAATCACACCATGAAACACAACGCACACCACACACATTTACGATGCTAGAACATTATTAGGTTTTGGAGAAATTCTCTCTCACACACAGATCACGTTTTGCGAAATTCTCTCTCTTTTTTTTTCCTTGAATGCTGGTATTAAGTCTCTCTCTAGCAGTGTAGCTAGGTTCTCGATAGGAACCTTTCTCTCTTTAGATTTTAGATTCTAATCTCTCTCTAAAATGCTGCTAAAAATTGCATATGGAGAGGAAAGAGTAAAGATAAGTTTTGCTATCTTCAAGAGTTTGAAACCAAAGTAGTTGTGGTTGCGTGTAGTTTTAGAAATCTGCTTGTTAGCAGTATCTTTTGAAACCTGTCTGCACACAGTGTTCCAGGCTTTCCCATTTTCTCTTTACCCAAAAATGAATATGGAACAAAGAAAATTTGTCAAATATATGACAGAGAGAGGTGTATAGACTATAGAGAGAGAATGTGTTCAAGAGAGATTTTGTGCTGATGCTTTTTTTTCTTTTTTTTCAGATCAGTGATGGGTGTCAATGGCGGAAGTATGGGCAAAAGATGGCCAAAGGGAACCCATGCCCACGAGCATATTACCGTTGCACCATGGCCGTTGGATGTCCCGTTCGCAAGCAGGTAGCCGTTGATTTAGTGCACTCTCATTCTCCATTTTATATGGCAGATTATATATCGAATATCACCACATATTAAATTTTGCTTGCCTCCTCATTAGTGTTTTTTTTTTTTCATTATCTCTCATTTGGAAATAATGATATTGGGAAATCCTTTCACATGTTCCCCTACACGTATAATTCATAATGTGTTAAGAGACCAAAGTCGTCCAATCTTAATCCGATAGCTCGGAGCGAGTCAAGAACAATACGATTAGTTGGCACAGTGATGCTATCTGTAATTAATGTCGGCCCATTCTAAAATGTCTGATCAAGATCAAATGGTTAGATGTATTCATACATATAAATATAAAAATTATGTATTAAATTATATGTGTGGAGGCACAAAAAGCTCATCATTTTTCTCCTCGTATTTCCATGTAATTAAGTCCTTATATATGCCTGGCATAAACAACCATGGAAACAGCCATAACCCACCTCTATTGGATACTAATTCACTGTATACTTTTAGAATGACCACAAAGACTCTTTTCATGCTCATGAATTCATGGTCTCAATTTAGGTCGAGTGATTTTCATGCCTCATGAATTCATGGTCTCCTTTTAGGTTTAGCTATTGATGACTAACTGGGGTACCAATTTGTTATTGGGATTAAGCTGCCATTTTTACCCAAAATGGTATCACTTTTGCATTTGATTTAATTTTTTTTTTTTTGTTAACTTGTTTGTTTATGTTTTTTGCTATTCTCTTATTTTGAAACTCAATTTTTGCAGAGATTAGATGCCCTCGTTACATTTTCTAGTATCAACCCCATTGTCTTGTATTGCAAATATCTCCATATTTGTAGTTTGCTAGAAGATGCACTCGAAGTTTTGATTGTAACCAATTGATGAGATAGGCATTAAATGGGATGCTTGCTTCTAAAGAATGGAACAATTTATTACTTCTAGTATGTTGCATCATATAATTCTAAACTAGTTAGTTCAGATGTTGATACTTGTGGTTGCATGCCTATCCTCTAAAATAAACAATTAATGGTTTTATGAAAATATTTCCTTCTAGCTTTTCCATTGACAAGCAATCTCACTAAAGCAGCTAGGTGTAAGTCTAATTTTAAGAAAGGTGATAGAAACCTAATCAAGGGTTGTGATTTCATTAGGTCCAAAGATGTGCTGAGGACCGAACGATCCTTGTGACGACATACGAGGGTAACCACAACCACCCGCTTCCTCCCGCAGCCACTGCCATGGCCTCAACTACCTCAGCTGCTGCAAGCATGCTTCTATCGGGGCCAACCACAAGCACAGACTCCCTCCATAGCCCCCAGTTCTTCCCCTTTTTGCCATGTCAATCCTCAATGGCATCTCTATCTGCATCTGCTCCTTTCCCTACAGTTACCCTGGATTTGACCCAAAATCCTAATCCCCTGCAATTTGCCCGCCCCGCTCCCCTCTCATCACCGTTTGCTTTGCCTCTACCAACGGGTCCTCATATCTACAATCAGACAGCGTACGGTCCCCAAAAATTGCCTATATTGCCCTCAGGACTAGCCCCGGTTCAGTTTGGAGTTCCTAATCAACCATCCTTGACAGACACAGTTAGTGCCGCAACAGCAGCTATTACGGCAGACCCCAACTTCACAGCGGCCTTAGTCGCCGCTATCACCTCCATTATGGGCACACCAAAGAACAACAATGGCAACAACAACAACAACAACAGCACCAACAACATCACCACCCCCAATAACAACAACAACCACAGCAATATCAATACAAATACTAATAATACTTCAATAATTGGGAGACCCAGTTCACCACAACTCCCTCAGTCATGCACAACTTTCTCTACAAACTAGTAAAGTTTGTTTTCTATAATGGTTGCTAGTTCTTCTTGTGAAGCAAATTATGTAAATTATTTTAAGGGATGGGAGAGTTTTTTCTTCTTATTTTATTTTTTTTCCTGTTGTGTAGGCCTTTGTTAAGTGTACCATTGTTTTTGTATGGATACATACATTATCCACCATTAGGGGGATACTTTTGAGTGGATCATTTTTTTACTGGATACACTTAGTATCCTTCATTTGCCTGTAGACGATAAGAAATATTCCTTGGATAAGAATTATGTGTTCTTCTTTAATATTTTTTAAGAAGGCTTTTTTTTCCTTCATTATTTTTCTTGGCATGAATCCCCCATCCCCTTCTTTCTCGTGAGGCATCACTAGCATGTTCTTATTCTGCTAACCTTGCCTCCAAACATCAAAAATTTATTTAAGAATTTCCCGATTACTATGCAACATTATATTTATCTAATGAGACTTTCAAAATCTCCTTTAAAAATGTTGATAGTCCACGGTTCCAAAATATGAGTAAATTTTGACTAACTTCAATTGCATCTCTTTTATTATTATTATTATTTGCATAAGCCGGCAACCTTAAACATTCAAAGTTAGGCACAACTCCATATCAAAGTTAGGCACAACCTTAAACATGCTTGGAGAGCTGTAGTTCTGGGCAGGAACAAGCTGCAATTTAATATTAAGTGACTAGTTGGTAATAGAAGGCATATTGACTCTTGGATTGATCCATGGTTATCAGAACTTTTCTTGATGGAGCTCTGTGGCACTAATAATCTCTGGGCTATTGGCTCCCCATTAACATCCCCATTAACATCAAAAGTATCTGACTTTCTGGATAGTGCACCTCTGAAATGGAATCTTCCTCCCTCCTTCCCTAACCCTCTCTCATAGTAGCCGTTTTCTCATTTGCTGCCTATTCATCCACTTGAGGATCAACTTGTCTAGACTCATGCGGTGGATGGTCTAATGAGCTCGGGAGTACATAAGAAGGGATGCGCATGTGAAGCCTTTTTTCAAAGTATTGTGATCTACACCATTTCTTCCCCGGGCAAAATGGTTTACCTGGTTAGCTTTGTACTCCAGGTTACCTACTTATCACTAATTAAAATCGAAGGGCATTACTTCCATCTCTTTATGCCCCTTTTGCTTTCAGGAGGAGGAGCTTTCAGACCATATCATTGTCCAATGCCCGTCTTCGAAGTTGATATGGAGATCCATTCTTAGTAGATTTGAGAAGTGTTTCCTTCTAGAGGAGACCACAGTGATCCTAAAAGCTAAATGGGTTAAATTTTGATTTCGATCTACATGTATGTTGTTTGTTTGGAATTGTGTTCTTACCGTTACTATTTGGCAACTTTGGATGGAGTGGAACTCTCGGATACATGGTGGATTGAGAATGCCAAGGGAGCAACTTCTATGATGTATTTTCCATTAGGTTAGATCGTTGACAAGAGCTAAAAGTTGGGCCTGCCATCCTTCGGAATTTAATATAGCTGCCAATCTTAACCTACAATGGGATCTCGTCCCCCCTGTTCAAATTCATGTAGTGTGGCTGCCTCCTCTATTATGCTCTATTAAACTCAACATCGATGGAGCTTCCAAGTAAAATACGGGTAGTCTGGGTTATGGGGGTATCCTCAGGATTGATGCAGGTGGATTCATTGTGCCATTTGTAGCTCCGTTAGGTAAAGCTTCTAATAACACAGTTGGATTTCTTGCACTTGAGAAAGGGATCTCTTGGGCCAAGAAGATAATATGTGTACCTCTTGTCATTAAAAGTGACTCCAAGTTTCTTGTGGATTCTATGAGTCGTCGCTGCAGGCCTCCATGGAGATTGCGCATACTCTTGGAGAATTGTATATCTAAGCTCTCAATTTTTGCTAATCATCAATGGAAGATCCAACACGCCTTTAGAGAGGCCAATGTGGTTGTGAACACTTCGGCCAAAGCGTCGGTATCTATGAATGAAGCAACAGTGTGGCATGCTCGACCCCTAGATTTTGTAATGCCTTTAATTATATCTGATGTTGCTAGCATCCCTTGCCAATGGTTGTATAAGGATAATTCATGAAACATTTTCTAAATTCTTAATAAACGAGTAGGGGCACGATTCCCCACTGATTCATCCCAAAAAAAAAAACTCCATATCCTATTGGAAGATGTAGTCCAGTGCTGGAAAAGCTTATGATAGCTTGAAATCTACTTCTACCTTTGATATTGAAATTTAAAGCTCTAAAAATAGTACAGAGCGAGGGATCTATAAACAATTGAAAATATTGAAACTAGCCGGCCTAGATAATATGTTACAAGATACACTATTTTTAGGACTTGAAATCTTTTTTTTTTTTCATATTCACATGTCTTGAAGTTGAGATGATTAATTAGAGAGTTTTTCAACACCAGAATAGCTTTTTCTTGTGGGTTTTGAAAGTATGCCTTATTTTTGTAGTATAAGATTAACGTCTAATATAAATACCTACCCAATATCCCCACTGATTCACCCAAAAAAAAGAACTATCCTATTTGAAGATGTAGTCCCATGCAGGAAAAGCTTATGATAGCCTAAAAATCTACTTCTACCTTTAATAATGAAATTTAAAGCTCTAAAAATAGTGCATAGAGAGGGATCTATAAACAATTGAAAGTATTGAAAATGGACGGTCTAGATAATGTATTACCAAATCCTCTATTTTTACATCTTGAAATCTTTTTTCTTTTTCATATCCATATATCTTGAGGTTGAGATAATCAATTCGAGAGTTTTTCAGTGTCGGAATAACTTTTTCTCGTGAGTTTTTAAATAGTGCCTTACTTTTGTTGTATAAGATTGACGTCTAATGTAAATATTTTCCTCTTTCGGTTCAAGATATTACTATATATTATTTTAGCTTAAATCTCTTATTCATAGATATACTCTTTCGAACCTTTACTAGTTAAAGTATTTTCGTTTTTTTAAACATGTATGTCGAGTATGGGTGTCTTCAAATTGATCAACCTCATTTAATTTCAATCAAAGGTTTGAAATGGCTGAATATAAGGTCATTTTGCCTATGGCGGTTACCATTCTATAAAATAGTTGATGTATCGAGCATAACAAAAATATTTTGGAAAAACCGAAAATTGATGTGAACATGAAAATAATGGAACGCTGAAAAAATGGATTGTTTGATAATATTTAAAAAAACGAAAGTAGTTTACCCCCATAGAACAATTACTATCTTACAAATATTGTTTTTTTGTTTTAGGGATTATATGTTTATGAAACCGTTCGTTTGGTACAAGTAAGTCACAGTCACTTTTAATCATTGGATGTAAAATTCACTAGAATTGTACTTATGGAGCTCTTGTATCTAATAAAATTACTAGTTAACATTCAAAATAAAAAAGATGTAAAATCCGATAAATGGAAGGAAAATTTATTTTAGACTTTATCCTCAGTCAACGACACATCTCCGATCACAACATCTCACATCTGATGATCAATAACAATTGTAACCTCCTTATACCCAAAGTAAATGGTTTTAATGTATATATTTTTCATTATTATTACTTATTGCTATCTTTAAGAAAGAAACTAGTTTGTCCATATAAAACAGTTGGAACACCGATTCAAAACGGAAATCTTTTTTAATAATTAAAGCACGCATTATATTCCATTTAAGTATTTACCCACTTGGTTTCTTTCCTCTAGCAAGATGCTTATGACACAACTATATTTTGTGATTACTAATGCATCTTTTTGTAAAAAATGGGTAAAATTTGGGGATTACGAATCAGTTTCCCAATGTTAGTAATCCTCAAATAAGAGAGAATTTTTTGTTCATACGTTCAAAATATTTATACCAATTTTGATAAAAATAGAGTATTGCAACAGGGAAAGTCTCGTTTTCTAATTAGATTTTTTATTATATATTTTCAGCTCCACTATAGCCGATCATGCCCACCCTAAGCCCGAAGAAAGGAGGAGAATTGTGTTAGGTTGGCTGCCAGCATAAAACTCTTGTCACATGTATTTCATAAATCCTGATGTGATGTTATATGCACATGCTAGAGCGTCATCGAACGAGTTGTGCAAGGCCCCAAGTGAAGTGAGAAATGAGAAAGGGTTAGCTAGAACATTCCCTATAGATGCGACATGCTCCAATGACTCCAAATGGTTGTTTCCAACTAATTATTGAATTAATTTTAGGAAGAGAGAACTTGAATGGGATTAAATGGCACGCACATTATCCTAGGCTCCGGCTTCTTGAGGCTTCCTCAATAGGTACCCTATCCTAAAGTCTCTCTTTTCATAGGGTCGTAATCTAATTGGATCCTCATGTACTTGGCCCTCAAATTGTGACAATATGGCATAGAATGGAAGAAGATATGGGGCATATCATATATCACCTAGTACATGAGATATTAGTTAGCGATGCTACTACTACTTTGGAGAGTTTCCTTTTCTTAATTTTTTCTTGTGATTAAAATCTTACCCTTGCTTGATTCTATCAAGGGAAATTTACATTATGTCCCTCTGAATTATTGTCTTTTGAAATCCCATAAAATATTTATTGTTTTTCAAAATTCCCCTAAAAAGTTCAATTTTACTTTGCCCCTTTTTTAGAATTTTATTTTATTTTTCCCAAATTTTATCTCTATCGAACCTTGAAGGTCTCGAGTTTAATCTTTTTTTGCTCATAAACTTTATGACTTACTTTGGGTTTTAAAGGTCTGGAGTTTTCCCGTACATCAACTTCAAACTATCAAGGTTTGATATTGGTCATTGTTAGTTTTTGTTCACAAACATCAACTTTGAACATTTATAGTGCGAAGCTGATCAAGGTCCAACGTTGATGTTTAAGACCTTTTCTAGATTTTGTACCAACATCAACTTCAGATCTTAAAGGTCAGAAGCTGATGTTTGGGGCAACTTCGAGCCTCCAATATCTGAAGTAATATATGAATGTAAAATCAAACTCTTGAGAGAGATTTCTATAATGCTGGTAATAGTGGATATTAGCTTAAATTTCTCTTTAATCAATATGGTTCTTTTCCTTTTGTGACAATTATCCACAATCCTCTTCTAATGGAAGGATTCATTCTTTGAATAGATCTAAATACTCCAATTTTAAGTAAAGGATAGCTATGTATGTTTCTTCTTAATAGTTATTGTTCATATTTTTTTCTCATCATGAAAAAATATTTCACCTTATGGTATGCCACAAAAATTGTTGAAATTTGGCTCATGACAACATGTATCATGCTCTAATACCACTTATTAGAAGTAAAGGATAGCAATGTATGTTTCTTCTTAATAGTTATTGTTCATATTTTTTTCTCATCATGAAAAAATATTTCACGTTATGCTATGCCACAAAAATTGTTGAAATTTGGCTCATGACAGCATGTATCATGCTCTAATACCACTTATTAGAAGTAAAGGATAGCTATGTATGTTTCTTCTTAATAGTTACTGTTCATATTTTTTTCTCATCATGAAAAAATATTTCACCTTATGGTATGCCACAAAAATTGTTGAAATTTGGCTCATGACAGCATGTATCATGCTCTAATACCAATTATTAAAATTTTGAACAATTATCGTTATTATCTATGCTGAAAACAATAAATCACTTTTTAGGTTAAAAAAGGACGCTATGGTACCTTAGAAGCCATCATTCTAACAACTATCAGATGCAAAAACAGGGGACTGTTTGGTAACTGGGCGTCCAGTTTCCTGCAAGTCAGTGAGCCTTGAAAAATGGGAGGCCTGGAAATTAAGCTCAAAACTTTTATTTGGTATTAATTTGAATTTTCTAAATATGAAAAAAGTTTATATAAGTTTACAACCTTATACTATTGCAATAAGGTGCACCTCAAAAATTTAGTAGACAAAAATATTCTAATGTTGAAGATCATCTCTTACTTCAGGATGCATAGATATAAAGAAGAAAAGGAATTTCAAGTTTTAAAATCGGGCATCTTGTAACAAGTTGTTTGAATGGTCGTTTTTCAAGATTTTTAGGTGTCTATAGATTTGCTAGACTTACACTATTTTTTGGAATTTTGAATTTTATAATTAGGAATGAACATGGATTTTCAAGCCATCATAAAAGTTTCCGACACTAGAATTATGTCTTCTGATGAGATTTAGATGTGTGCCTTATTTGTATTGTATAAGGTGGCACATTATACAAAGTTCACCCTTCTAAAATTGATAGTTTCCTTTGACTAATCCCAATAGAAAAAATTACTTATATATTCGTTATACTTTCCGTTATTACCAAAATACCAAGTACTTTTCGTTATTACTGGATTGTTTTTTTCACTTCATAACAATTTTTTTAAAAAAAGATGTTTTTACCCTTTTTCAGTTGTTCAACAACCGAAAATGGCCGTGATAGTTTTACGGTTCATCTTCTCTGCTCTCTATGTCTATGCTATGTGAATGCTTAAAAAATAGAGTTTTACCCATTTTCAATTGTTCAACATCCGAAATTAAGACATTTTTCGGTTGTTCAACAACTGAAATGAAGACTTTGTTTTCCAGAAGCTTGCTGGAATACACAATCTTAATTTTGATTATTCAACACCCGAAATTAAGATATTTTTGGTTGTTCAACATCCGAAAATGTCTTGTTTTCGTTCTTGAACAACCAAAAATGACAATTTAAATTTTTAACCTCATGTCTATTTTCAGTTGTTCAATAATCGAAAACAAAACATTTTCAGATGTTGAACAACCAAAAATGTCCTATTTTCGGTTGTTCAACAACCGAAATTAGGACTGCGTTTCTTAGAAGCTTGCTAGAATATACAGTCTTAATTTCTGTTGTTCAACATCCGAAATGAAGACCATTTCAGTTGTTCAAAAACTGAAAATAGGTAAAACTCTCTTTTTTAAGCATTCACATAGCATATATGTAGAGAGCAGAGAAGATGAACCGTAAAACTATCGGGGTCATTTTCAGTTGTTGAACAACCAAAATTCCAGTCATTTCGGTTGTTGAACAACCGAAAAATGGTATGAATGTATTTTTAAAAAAATTCATTGTAAAGTGAAAAAAACGGACATTCTAGTAATAACGGAAAGTATTTCGTATTTTGATAATAACGGAAAGTGTAATGGATATATACGTAATTTTCCCAATCCCGATATTTGGGAAGCGCTTTACCGTTCATTATATAATTGATAAAGTTTATATGCAGTTGGACCTTTGTTTGTAGAATTAAATTTGCAATAATCTATATCGTCCATTTTATTTGAGCAGTATAAATTTGATACAATCTTGAAATATGTGCTACTTTTTAATAATGGCTTAAAACATATGTCAAATTGACACTGTACAATTAAACTAGACGGTATAGAACATCACAACTTTACTTCAACAAATAATGTTGCCACATCATATAAACCGGACCATTACATAATTTGATATTGATATTTATCCCATGAGAAATTTTCATCATAACCTGTGTGTATGGCCATTGTCACAAATTGGAATAAAAGGTTATCGATTTAAAATCAAACAATTCTATCAACTCGAATGACTGTATTAAAATCTGGCTATTTCTAATCTTAAACATTAATCCAGAGAGGAATCAGTCAAGACCATCAAACTGGTTATGGACTGGTATAGGTCCCACTTCTTCACCCCTAAAACCCCCGCTTATATATTATTAGATTTTTTATCTGGATCGTTGATTCAGATGATAATCAATCAAAACCATCAAACTAGTTCTGAAATGGTATGGATCTTACTTCCTTCCCCTTAAAACCCCTCTTATATTATATTTTATCTGAAACTTATTTAATAATTTTTTAAGTCACCCATAATATAAACCTATATTTTAATTTTTATGTTAGTTACTTTTAACATTTTTCTATATCACCAGTGCATATCAAGATGGATCCAACGATCCGACACGAATTTGTGGATGAACAATCAGCCCACCGATTGGATCTTGAAATAGTTGGTCAAACAACCGCTTATTTAATTTACTACAAAATTTTGTAGCTTTTTATTAATAAATATGTTCTCATTTTTTTACCCCCATCCAAAACCGAATCACCAATTCCCATCAGTACTGTGGACGGTCTGATTGTTCCGGGTTTTAAAACTGCGGGCACGTAATACGATGGCATTGTCGTAATTTGTTCGATTAAGAGATGCCCGCTATAAAGTGAGAAAAAGCCGATGCTTTTTGCTAGAAATCGCAGATCATAAGAGCGAAAGAAAGAAAAAAAATCCTTAGATAGAGAGAGAAGGGCAAAAGACAGAGAGCAGGGAAAATCTTCATTGTGCCCCTGTAAGTGGTTTTTGCCTTGATTTTCTTTGATTTTTGTATATAATTTTTGCATTTTATCATGAAGAAATGTACCCTCTGCAGTTCCCTCCTGAAACCCTAAAATTTGGTCATTGTCAGATCTCCTTTGCCCTAATTTTATGCTTGTTATTTATATCATCTCTAGTAAATTATGTCTCTAAAAAAGTCAATTAATTGTTTTGAAGTATTGGATAGCGTGACACCCATAATGTTAACGGGAAAACTTTTTAGTCAGTTGACTATTACCTTTGTTCTAATCTGAGTTTGCTTTTTTCTTCTTTCATCTTTTGAATTTTGATGAGAAATATTATGTAATTGTCTGTTCTTTTTTTTTTTTGGGTAAGTTATTTGAAGGTCGATGGCAAATGGAATTTTGTTATATTACATCCATACTTGTGACTGTTTTTGTTGTTAGGAGGTATTGTTTGGGTTAGGTCAAACTTTTGTTGAACTTATTATTGTTTAACTGTTAAATTTTCTAATCTAGGGTTTGGCTTGATTAGCTGAAATTTTCTTTCATCAATGGCTATTTGATTTTGTTATATCCTCCATTTGAGCATGTAGTTGTAAATAATCAATCACACTCGTTTTGATGTTCATTTCATGCCCCAATTAACATTTTGCAAGGATAAATTCCATAACCTGGAAGTAACACATCAGTGATGAGATATTGAAGAGTGATGATATTTGGGAATAGGAGAAGTGGGTTTTTTTTTTTTGGGGGGGATGACTGTATTTTTATTGAGTTTATATAAACCATACAAGTATAAACTGTCCAAAATCTCTCAAATCATATTTTTTTTTTTCCAATATATTGTTTCTAACAGCTAGATGAGGCTAAAATGGATAACCCTAAGGATCTATATCAAAAAAATAAAGAAAAAAGGAGGTGACCCCCCCCCCCCCCCCCTTCCCCAAATTTAAACTGAAAAAATACCTGGCCTAGTGACAAGTCTGAGAATTCTAGAACTTAGGTTAGTTCTCCGAAGTTCTACAGTACTCTTGCGAGTTTCATTTGCCCGAGTTCTACAATACTCATGCAATTTTGTGTGGTACTTACCCATGTACTGACAGCTATTTCACCTTCGATTTTTACCATAATACCTACTTAAGCAGGGTGTCAACGCTGAGTAACTTGGTTGAGTCCAAGCCGACTCAGCTGAGTTTTCATTCACTGATAGAAATAGTTATAAAAATTTGACATTGATTTGAAAAAATTGATTTGAATCCTCATAGAATAACCAAAGGAGTTTTGAGCGGTTCTGGAGGACTTAGCTGTCTAATGTTGCTGTGACTGTAACTTTTATTAAGTTTATATTCAATGACTCATTCTTTGGGATTGCTTTTTTTTAGCCCTCTGTCATATCAATCCATTTTAATCTATAGGGGACAATTCATTGGGAATTTGATTTCATTGATTTTGGTGTGCTTTTTGGGACAAACTTATTATTAAATCGTTGCTTTTGTGGAATTTTTACTGTAGTTGTTGAGAAACTTTTCTCTACATCATGTTGTATGTGAACATGATGCTTATAATGTTTTCTACCGCTTTTTCTTGTTTTCCTGAAGTTGATTAATCTACGTCAAGGTATTTTGTTGGTTGAAACTTGAAGCCTTAATATAGTGATGTTGGGTGTGATTGACTTGCTCACTCATCCTTGATATGATACTTTCTAGTTTTTCAGATTAAAATCGATTTTTAGCTGGATGAGCACCATCTGGGTCGCTTTGTTTCGGATATATTAGGACATTATAAAAGGTGTGAAAGACATTGTCTTTTAGCCATATGAAAATGGACAAGATGGGGTGCATTGTTAGGGAGCCCATGCATGGCGAAGATAAACGGCAGCAAGAAAGGGAGGAGGTATGTAGCCACTAGGCAGTCTGACTAGTTTTATCCATATTTACCTAAATGATTAGAATTCTTTTGTTTTTTGTACTGATTATTTGTACTTGGCAACATTTGATGTGACTTTGCATGGGATTGTGTGGTCACTTTATATTATGTTACCTTGTAATATGTAACAAGTTTTGTTAAAGAATCATTGTTCCTGTTGTTTTCACTGAATTAAAGAAGCTATATCTTTTATTCAATTTAGAATGCATGGGTGTGTCTGGATGCTGCCCCAAACCATGGTTTGCACGCAGTTGGGTTGGCAATTTGAGTGACACCCAATTCATGGGTCCGGGGCAACTTTGGATCCATTTTCTTACCTCCTTTTGGCGACATGCACCTATGAAATGACGCTACTTTTTTTTAGTCTAAAAATAATAGAAAATACCTGTACCCCTTTAACCTAACCATAAAAGTGCCGTATTTACGTGAAAGTCAAATCACATGATTTGCGGACCACGAGTTGAAGGCAAACAAGCACTATATCATTCTAAAAAATCTGATGTTGAGAACTGATTTTGCATTTAAAAGGTATTTGATGCATCAGGAGAGCAGCAATTGAGATGCGTCCGCTGACGCATCAAACATCCATCTATATGATAGATTGAAAAATAATTTCCCTCTGCCGTAACCTAAAATAAATGTTGTAACAAAAATTAAGTCAAATACATGATCACCATGGTTGAGATTATCAAAACCCTAAACTTTTGGATCCAAAATCCATCTTCAAGATGGATTTGGAGATGGATTTTGGAGGGGGGGAACGCATATAAATAGATGGGCCGGCTGACTCATCAAATCCGTATCCTTAAGCATTTAGTGGGTGAATGATTTAGTCCTTTTTTTTTTTTAGTTTCTCCTATTTTTTACTTTTATGTCAGTGAAACTCATGGAGTCTAGTGACGTGAAACCAAGATTATGATTCAATTGGGGTTCATCCATTGGACTGTTTTAGTTGAAAACAAATGAATTAGTCTTATGTGTCTTATGGTTATTTATTTGCTTGACATCTTTTTGTTAGTCATGATCCGTTCTACAAATTTGTTAAATATGGCCTACAAAAATAGGCTTCTTACTCCTATGAACAATGACTTCTTCTTGAAAGTTAGTGTTATTCTATTAATTTATTGCCATTTTACTTTTTCGTGTCTCTTGTTCTCCGCATTCAGTTTTGCATGGGTATGGTCTGACAAGAAATTGTAACCTTTTTTCAAAGATTTTACGGCATGGTTTGCCAGTGTGGCATAGAAAGTGACATTATGCTGAGATTTGCGTGCAGGCTCACGATAGCAAATTTGAGCCACTAAGTATGAACATGGAGTATGAAGTCTTATTCATTCATCACCTTTCTTCAACATGATTGTTTTGGTGTTTCCTGAGGGATGCAGGTGTATGAAGAATCCCTTGTTGAGGATCTTGGGGATGATTTCTATCTGCCCATTAATCACAGACCTACAGAGAATCTTGACACTGATAATCTCGAACAAGCAACTCTGGACACACAACTAACATCATCAAATTTAGGTTTCAGGCTGTTGCAGAAAATGGGATGGAAAGGGAAGGGACTTGGTAAAGATGAGCAAGGTAGTGTTCTTACTCAACAAGTAATATATTTTTTTAATATGAACTCAACAAGTAATATTCTATCATATGCTGTCTTTAACCTAATACACACTGAAAATTATCAGGTTCTACAATCTATAATCACGTTCCTCTACAGTAAAAGCTGATAATTGCAATTCAAATGATGTTTATGATCCAATGGTTTAACCAACTATTCTTTTTGCTCGGTGCACAAAAAGAAAAATATGCTCTGGACATCATATGGAGACAAACACAGCCTCAAATGCATATTGTACGGAGTTGCTGTATTTGATTTTCATACAGTTTTCTTTCATGCTTGAGGTGTTCTGTTACATTCTTGACTTATCATGTGTCCATGAATGTTTTTGTCAAAGTTTGAGGAGGAACATTGGTTAATTTGGTCTGGACATTTCCCAAAGAATAGTCATTATGCACATGCCTAAGTTCTATAGCATGTTAGTCTTTTCCTTTTACTTTCTCAATTAAAAAGTGTCCTTAGGTCCAATGCTATGGGTTAATTATACTTCTAGGTCAATTTATGGATTTGGGTGTTGGGAATTTCTATTACCCTTTCCGTATTTATTGAATCAAAAGTTTTGGAACTTTCTGGATATGAAACCATTTATTGTTGGTATATCTTCTTGCAGGTATAATTGAGCCAATCAGGGCTGGAATTAGAGATCCAAAATTGGGTGTGGGAAAGCAAGAGCAAGATGATTTCTTTACAGCAGAAGAGAATGTTCAGCGAAGGAAGCTTGATGTTGAACTAGAGGAGACTGAGGAGCATGCAAAGAAGCGGGAGGTATGCCTTTTTATTTTTTTGGAGAACTCTTTACCATATTATTGAAGCATCATTAGTTTATTGGTTGATGCATAACTCTTTGTAAAACTACATCTAATAACAGAAGGCAGCATATAGCATATATGCATGTCTTTTGAAGGAAATGGTATGTCCTAGGGGAAGATCCACTTCAGAGGGTCTAGCGAATTTCGTGCAGTTTTTATTACCTGGTGGCTTCTACTGCCTGCTTCGTGCACATGATGAAAATCCAGGTCATAGCGGAGCGAGAGCAGAAAATACAGACTGAGGTGAAGGAAATACGCAAAGTGTTCTTCTGTGAACTATGCAACAAGCAGTATAAACTGGCTATGGAATTTGAAGTTCACTTGAGTTCATACGACCACAATCACAGGAAGGTAAGGCATTCAATTTGAAGCCTTAAAAGGAACTCCTTAGTGAATTTGTAAATTATTCGTTTCAATTTTTTGAGAACCGTGAGGCTTGCTGGTTTAGCCCAGTTTAGGTCCAACTGGACCCCTAACTCCCAGCTTTTCTCTAAACTTCAAACATTCGCATAACTATAAAACTGGCCCCATGGGTGGCTGATAAGTACTTTGAATATCCCAAACAGCAATATTCAATATCAGTATTGGTTTTGTTTTCTTAACAACTCAATTTCTCATGTTTACAAACATTTCATTTCTTACATTGTTATTGTTATGCATTTGCCTTGTATTGATTGTTATGTATGACATGCATACTGAAGACCCAGGGTCAAAACCTCAAATAGATGGCTATGGAATCTAGGCTATGGGACATGGCACCATTAATGAATCAATATTCTCTCAGCAATATTTTGTTTTTCTTTGTTGATAATTTCCATATGCACCTGTATGGTAGAAAGATGAATGGAATCAGTATTCATACACACAGATACGAAAAATATTGTTCTATATAGCACTATTATTCATTTATCATGTTTTTTTTCATGTTGTTATTATTATTAGTATTATTCATCTTGATTCTTTTGTAATCCACAAAAGAACAGCTATGCTTCATCGCTTTTGACAATGGGTAAGTTTCCCTGTTGAACATGTTCAGCGTTTTAAAGAAATGAGGGAAATGCATGGAAGTAGCAATCGTGATGAAAGGCAAAAACGAGAACAGCTACGTCAAGAGAGGGAAATGGCAAGATTTGCACAAATGTATCCTTTGATCGTTCTTCATTTTCTTTGTTGTGATTTTTCCTAGATTACGATGAGATTTTATCTCCCACATTTGGCCATCTTTGACATCATTCTAGTGTGGATGCCCAGAAACAACAGCAACAGCAACAGCAACAGGAAGTATCAGGTGTTCTCGCATCTTCTAGCACAACGACAAGTGCTACTGCTCTTGCTGTCCCAGATGAGCGACAAACTCTTAAATTTGGATTTTCTTCTAAGGCAACATCAAAGGTGTGTGGGATTTGAGTTCGTGGATATATGAGTTTCCAAAAAAAAAAAAATCTTCACGACTGGCCTTTCTCTTCTTATAGCATAGATGTTTGAGATTTGTCTGCTCTACCAATTACACATTCTTTAGAAGATGAAGTTGATGTTGTTTCCTCTCATCTGACACTTAATGGTTCCAATCACTGTTATATAGACACGTATTAAAGTATCTAGTACTTCTCGCAAAAAAGATGGGATGGTAAGACACATCCTTATAACTATGATGTCCTATATCAATTGTATTTTTAAATTAATTTAGAAAAGACCTTGCATATCTTTAACACATGAGAATGGCTTGTGTGGTGGTGTACATTGATGCTCGTGTTGAGCACTTACTGAAGATCAAGCCCTAAGGTTGAATCTTGTGTTATAATATACTAGATTTTAACCCCACTCCTCTCTGGAGGTGTCCACGCGTTTAGCGTGTGGACATGCAACACCAGCTCCAATGCCACGAGACCTATAAGTGAAAATTTAGTTCACCTCTTTCACAACCCTTGTAAGCCAACCTTGAGAGCCCAGCCCTCTAGCGTCTCTTTTGTTCATCTCGATTTTCTTTTTGTGCAACCTTTCAAGCCCTTATTTTTAACCCAATATGGACCTGATATGACCAAAAATCCACCAGCTTTTTCCTTTGCTCATCTCACGTTTCTTTTTGTACTTTCTTTTGAAGTCTTATATTTTAACCAGATTTTGGACCTGATCTTTTGTAATCATGTTCTTGTGAGTATGACCAAAATTCCCCCTTCTCCATGAAATGTTTGAAATGCAATTAAATGTTTTTTTTTTTAAAAAAAAGTGTTAACCTTTAATAAAAGAGTGAATAAGTACAAGAGACCTTGGCAGTCCACAGTAAAGGTTGGGGCCAAAAGTGGAATCAAAATCCTCTTTTAAGAGGTTACAGTGAGGCACAACAACCTAGAAAAATAGGTTTATCCACCAAATTGGCTCCAAAAAATAGAAAGCAAAAACTAAAAGGCCCAAAAAACTTCCGGTTGTTTGCAATTGCTGCTACTTCTTTGGCAAGGAATCAGCTGCTTGGTTTCCTTCCCTCCATGTATGCATCCACACGTCAGACATATTCCTGTAGAGGTATTCAATTTTGTCACAAACAAGTGGTTCAGATGCCAAAGGGAAGTGGAGGCGGGAAGACTCTGTGCCCAAGAAATTGTGTTCTTGGAGTCTCCCTCGACGAGGAGGGAGTGTAGGTGGAAGGGTTGGATGAGTCTGGGGCCTTCCAAGAGTGCCATCACTTCGGCCTCCATAGAATTAGCGTGGCCAATGTGTTTGGAGACAGGTGCCACAGTAGCACCGAGGTGGTCCCTGAGGATGGCTCCGATGCCTGAAGGACTAGGGTTATCGAGAGAGCACCTGTCAAAGTTGAGCTTAAGCTTCCCCACAGGTGGAGGTTTCCCATCTTGATGCTCGTGGCAATCGCAAGCGATGGAATTGAAGAATGCTGCTCCAATCTTGGTTAAAGGCCAAGGAGGGAACACCTTTGAAGAATTGGTGGTTGTTCGCCCAAAAAATGATGTGGACTTAAGTTTGTTGAATACTTTGGGCCAATTTGAGAATTCCCTTAGAAAATTCTGATGTTCCTCTTGATCCAAAGTGCCCACAAGCAGCAGCGACCGCCATTTTCCAAAGAAGAATTCCTTCTTTATGCCAAGGGAAAGGATGGGCGGAAGATATGGAGGCACCTTTGCCGGCAGCACCCATTGCACATTGAACAGTCTGAGGATAGCTCTCCAAAGATTGAAGGCGTAGCAGCAGTGCAGTAGGAGGTGGTTGTTTGTCTCTTCTTCCAAGAGGCACATGACACACCTATTTGGAATCGGGATCCCTCGTCTTTGTAGCTGATCTACTATTAGAACTCTCTGTGAGAGAGCTAGCCACATGAAAATCTTGATTTTTGGTGGAGCGAAAGATTTTCAAGCCTGGGCAGCTGTAGCCGTAGGGGTGAGAGGGAATGTTGGTGGACGAGAGGCTACGAAAGAAAGAGGAAACCAAGAAGTCGCCTGATGGTGAAGGACACCAAATGATGCGATCTGGCCTCGATGGTGCTATGAAAAACGCCTGAAGTTCTGCCACTAGAGTGGCGAAACTCTCAATTTCGAGATCATTGAGAGCCCTCCTAAAATCTGGCTTCCATGATCGAAGTGGTACTGTCGATAGCATTTCATCAGCCACAGTTGCTCCCTGATTTCTGGCCAAGGAGAAGAGATCGGGAATCTATCCTTCAAAGGGGTGTGCCCTGTCCACATGTCTGACCAGAAGAGAATTCTATTTCCTGACCTCGGATGGAATCTAATACGGGACAAAAAGCCTGGAAAGGTAGAACAAATTGATCTCCACATGCCTGAGGACCTCTGATCGGCAAGTGATATTTGTATTTTAGAACGTCAATCCATAATTGGTTGCTCAGGGTTGAGACGTCAACACCATTTTCCTAGTAGTGCCTTGTTCTGGATTCTAAGGTTCTTGATTCCAAGGCTACCTCTATTTTTTGTCTGGCATATTTTGTCCCATGCTATCAGATGGATTTTGTTATTGGAATCATCTCCAAACCAGAAGAACCTTCTCATCATCTGTTCAATTCTGGAACTAACAGCTACAAGTATATGAAAAATGGACATTTGGTAAACCTATATGTTGCCAAGTGTTGCTTTGATCAAGGTAAGTCTTCCTCCTGAGGAGAGGAAGTGGCCTTTCCGGCCTTTCCGACCAGCCAACCTACGGTCCACTTTATCTAAGAAATGGGACCAATGGCTAAAGCGAGGTTTACCTATGTAGAGTGGAAGCCCGAGGTATTTGGAGGGCAGTGACTCTACCCCACAACCCCAACTGTGAGCAAAAGTTGAGAGTGTAATGGGATCAACGTTTACACCCATCTTTTTTGTTTTTTCAAAATTGATTTTGAAGCCTGTTGCAAAGTCAAAACACTTAAGAAATAGGAAGAGGTTATGAATTTCAGTGGGTGAGACGTTGCAAAAAACCTATTGCCGTCAGCATACTAGAGGTGGGATACTGTCGGAGCTCTAGGGCAGACCGAGAAGCCATGCAAGCAACCAGCCGAGTACATTCTTGAAAGAGCACAGCTGAAAACCTCAGCTGCGATTGCAAAGAGAAAGGGGGATAAGGGATCTCTCTGTCTGAGGCCTCTAGTAGAGGGGAAGTAGCCTTTGGGGGTACCGTAAATAAGGATGGAGAAGAAGGGGTGCGATAAGCAAGCTCTCATCCAGGTTCTCCATCTAGAACCGAAACTCATCTTAGACTGGGTTTCTTCGAGATTGTCCCAGTCTACGTGGTCGTAAGCCTTCTCCCAGTCGAGCTTAACGACAATGTCAGGTACCCGGACTGTCTTTATGCATTCATGGGCTACTAATGCCCCATTCAAGATCTAGCGATCTTTAATAAAAGCACTTTGTGTAGTGGAAATTACTAGGGGAAGGACCTCTTTGAGACGAGGGGTTAAAACTTTTGCAAGGATTTTGTAAGTGGAATTGATCAGACTAATAGGGCGGTAGTCTTTGAGTTGTGAAGCTCCTTCGATCATGGGAATAAGTGCGATGAAAGTAGCATTCAAAGCTCTATGAAGGACCTCCCTATAGTATAATTCATTGCATAAATCTAGGAAATCTGTTTTAAACGATTCCCTGAACATTTGGAAGGGAGCAATAGGGTAACCGTCAGTACCAGGCAGTGTTTCAAAAAGAGCTTGGCGGCACCTAGGCTTTCGGGGGGGTCCAGGCCGCCCAGCGCCTAGGCGGGCGCTTAGAACCTAGTCGCCTTACTAAAAAAAAAAAACTTTTTGGGTTTTTCTCTCTCTAAAATAGCCTCCAATGGGTTTTAGGTTCATTTGAAACCTAAAACCCACAATTTTTCACCTTTAGTATTAAAAAAAAATGACCCAAAAATGGCCTCAACGAGCGGTGGGGCGTAGGCCCTGGGCGGCCGTGCCTAGGCGGGTTCCCGTGCGCCCAAGGATACCCGCCTAAGCTTAGGCGATGCGCCGAGGCCTTCTAGAGCACCTTGGCGGCCGCCTAGGTGCTGGACGGTCCGCTTTTTGAAACACTGGGACTAGGAGCTCTGTTTGTGTCCAAATCCGAAATGGTTGCTAAGATTTCTTGTTCAAAGAACGGCCTCTCAAGCCACGAGGCCTTGTCCGGAGGGAGAATCAAGAAATCAAGGTCACCCATGGGAGGTCGAGATGATGGTGGAGCAAAGAATAGAGTTTGAAAATAGCGAAGGATGGCTTGCTCGATCTCAGAAGATTGGTCCAGGAGGTTATCCCCCACTTGAAAATGGGTGATGGTATTGTCTCTGTGCCGACAATTGGCAGTTCTATGAAAGAAGTCTGTGTTAAGGTCCCTTACCTTCAGCCACTTAATCCTGGACCTCTTATACCAAAAAATTTCCTCTTTCTTGAGGATTGATTGCTATTGAAATTTGAGCTCATCTTTGCTGATGAGTTCATTCTCCAAGAGTGGTCTAGATTCTTCAAGGAGGTCTGGGGATTAAATGGATTACAGCGTTGCAGATTTCTGAGGCCCAAGGAATCCCGTAAGACCCCTACTCCAGGTTTTAAGATTATTCTTCAAAAGTTGGTGTTTTTTCTGAAGTTCAACCTTCTACCTGGTTTTTTTTGAAGTTTACACCTAGCCCAACCTTCTACCTGGTTAGAGAACGATTGCCACCAAATGGGGAATTGGTTAAGAAGATCAGGTTCTTCCAACCAAGTGAGTTCAAATCAGAAGGGTTTTGGGCCATTGTCGACAATCTTAGTGTCAAGTAAAATGGGACAATGATCTGAGGTAGGTTTTGGTAGAGCCGAAGAATGGATTCAAGGGAAGTTTGTGTCCCAGTCAATGGAGATCAAGAAACGGTCTAGTTTAGAAAGAGATGGGTTTGTGGCATGACTAGACCAAGTGAATTAGGCACTAGGTAGGTCGACCAAATTGTTGAGGGCAACAAGTCGGAAAGGCGGACATTGCCGGAGTAATTATGGAGGAGGAGTTTCTCTCATGGGACCACCTAGTCACGTTGAAATCGCCACCAATGCACCAAATCTGGTGAGGAAGCTGCACGGTAAGGTTCAATTCGTCCCAAAGAATTGGTCTATCCGCATCAGAATTAGGTCCGTACACCGCTGAGAATTTCCAATGAAGTTTCTCAAAAATTCTGGAGAGAAGGATGGAAACAAAAATCTCGTCAAGTATGAAGAATTTAGGGAGTGGACTGTGGGATCCCAAATTTTCCCCCGAAGCACCCTCCGCGGGAAGGGCTACCCATTGACAAGGTCGACGACCCCAAACTTGTCGTACGAGAGACAAGGTCGAATTGGGTAGTTTTGTTTTCATAAGGGCCAACACGGTTGGTCTTTGTCTCCAGCAGAGATTCCTAACTGCCGGTTTTTTATGGGTTTGGCCAAGGCCATGAATGTTCCAAAATAGGATCAACATGTAAAAGCAGGAGATGGAGGTGAGTTCCTAAAGATGCGCCTTACCATGAGGCCGGTGCTTAAGAGGAATAGGAGAGGTAGAGTTAGAAGAAGAGGGTTGGTCGTAATTGATGTTGCAGGCCAATTTGTGTAATTCTCGAGAACCCTTCTTGCGTACCCGAAAGCGATCCTGCAGTTCATCCTTGAAAAACTCCTGAAAGTGTTCATCCGGTATGGTTTGTGGGAAGCCCATGATTTTTATGACCTCCAAAATCTGGCCCTGTCCTTTGTCAATGTCGTTGACATATTCGGAGTCCACCGAAGGAGGGGAGAGAGGGTCCCCCATAGTATCAACTAAGATAGAAGCTCCTAGAGAGGAATCAGGGGAAGAGGCCAGAGGCGATGGTATTGCTGGTAACATAGGGTCTATGGGTCGAAAGATACCCGAGGAAAGCCCAAAAGGATCCCCTTGAGAGAGGGTGGCAGTATCAGTCAAAGAAGTGGAAGGAGATAAAGGAGCTACCTGAGAGGTAAGAGGAGAGGAGCAGGAAGCAAAAGCCACAGCAGGTTCAAGAGAAAAGGAAGTAGGAGAAGTTGTCACAGGTGGGTTGGTGGCCAAACTTGGTCTGGTGGGGGTAGCATTAAAGGAGTGGGTAAGGGTAGGTGAGAGTGGCAAAGTTAAGGGAGTGGTTGGGTAGCGAGGAGACAAGTTAGGTGGAGGGGGGAGAGAGGGAAAGGAAGGTAAAAAGCTAGGTTCTCTCTGGTGGGCAGGCAAAATGAAATTAGAAAAATTGTGTGGGAGGAGAGCGGCAAAAGGTTCAGGTTGTGGATGGGTTGGGTGTAGAAGAGGAGAGGTGTGAGGTTGGGGATGAAACGGGGCAGAGAGGCGAATGTGACCATCGGGACCAAGATGATGATGGGTTCACCACTGGTGGGGTCAACCGAAACACCCACGAGAACGGGAGGGATCACTAGGGTTCGAGGGTCCATGCCTTTTGGGTTCTTCTTTGGATCAGGGGGAGGAGAGGTCTTGAAGGTTCGAGTCGTCTCCCTAGTTTGAAAGGAGGTCGATGAGAAGGGGAGCAGTAGAGCAAGTAGTGTTTTAAACAAAGTGACTAGGTGGTGAAGAAAGGGCCACAGGTGGTGGGTTAAGCAAGGGAAGCCGGAGGGTCTCAAATGTACCGGGCGATGGGACATCTGAGGGTGATGATGGTGTTTGAGCTAGGGGGAAGTGTGTAACAATGGTGGAAGTGACAGTGGAGTGGATGAATCGTTGGGCAGTCATCCCGGGGAGAGGTAGATGGAGCGATTCCAGCACGCAACTGAATAAAATTTTGATGGGAGAAGGGTGAGTGATGGTGCACGGTTCCCAGGGAGCCGGCGATCTTGGGAACGGATAACGGGGGATGGTAGGTGGAAGGCAGGGAGCGTGGCGGTCGACAGATGTCATGCATCGGGGGCGGCAGCGATGGGCATGCTGAGGCATGCATAGAGTCATCCAAATGTACCCTAGAAGGTATGAAAGAAGCGTAAACGATGGCTAAAGGCGACGGCGGCATCAATACGGTTGCAGACAAAAAATCCTGACAAGACAGCATCAAAGATGGTTCAGGCCGACCTGGAAATTGTAGATGATGCCACGTGTCAAGGTGTTTGGAAGCTGCAAGCTCCTTGCCCGATGTGCCAGGATGCAAGGCTGAAGAGACTCGAGAGTGCCTCGTGGCCGGTCGGTCAACTACTGGCGGCTCCTCGGCTAGCGCACCTGGAAAAAACACAGGGGTGGTTAAGTCCGTGGCGGAAAGAGGTAGAAAGTGGGGAGGGGATGGCGGGGGCGGAGGGTGTGGTGGTGGTGGAAGTGGTGGCATAGGGGGGGAAGGGATGCGGTGGAGGTGATGAAGTTTGAGGTGGGTGGCGGGACCATCGGCTTCTCAGGTGGCAGATGTAGACGGTGGTGGTGGAGAAGTTTGAGGCGGTGGGCGAGTAGTTCTACCAGGTGGCGGGTGGTGGTGACGGTGAGCATGGCGGGGAAACCAGTGTGGGGGACTCCCACGAGGCGGTCGTTTTCGGCAGACTCTCGTCCAACTGTTCTACTTCTCTGCAGGGGTAGTAGTGTGGTGATTGCGAAGAGGATCGATCGATGATAGAAAACGGGGCGAGGGAGGAGAAGCCATCAACCAGGAGATAAACACCCGTAAGAAATTTCCGGCCACCTCGAGCCAGAGAAAGGGTGGTATAGAATGGGGATCGAGGACGTCTATAATCAACAGCACCATTCCGAGCGGCAGGCTTTCCAAAGATTGTCAGTGAACGGCCACAATAGAGCCGTAGGCATTGCCAATGGAAGTAAAGGTGTCGAGACACCAAGAATGGAGGGGGACGTCGGAAGCCGTAATCCAAACCTTTTGACAACGAAAAGCTCCTAGGTCTACAGACCATAAAGATAGGTGGAGGGAAGCTCCCTTGAAAGAGGTCGAAGGGGAGTTCTTCGGGGAGGACAGCTTTGTCAGAGGTGGGGAAAGAGAAACGGAAGGACCTGTTGGAGAGATGGCGGCAAGAAAGGCCTGGTTCCTTCCAGATTTCTTTGGCCCATCTTTCAATTCCTTTGCAATCGTTGTGCTGAGGGTTGACTTAGATTTTGGCGTACTTGTTAGATTTTGGCATACTTGTTGCTGTTATATTAAGACCTTTACTTGGGAAAAGGCTATTACGATGATGATGACTTTCATGTGTTGCATGTGCCCATCTTAAACGTGTTTTCCATGTTTTAATGTCTAGAAGTAAATTATGGTTTCATAATATTGCTTCAACAGCTAATTCATCATTTAATGGAAACTCATTCATTTATTAATTACTAAATTTCATACTTTGAACATGTACAATCAAAATTTGAGAGACTTGAAGAAAGAATGTATTAAATGAACAGAGGTAAGAGCCAAGATGTATGATGAACTGTGGAGCTTATATCTATTTGGGACATTTTGGCAGACATCATTTGGTGGAATCACCAAGAAACCAAAAGTTGCGGCCAAGGTGTCCTCCATCTTTGGCGATGATAGTGACAATGAGACGTGACCTTCGCTGTGCAGAGAGGATCATACATAAGACGAGCTATGTTTGAAAAGAAAGTGGTCCTTGTTTTTGCTTGTATTTGTATAATTTGCTTCCCATTTTGAATTCTGGGAGTTAAGAATTTAAACCTTTAACTGTCTTTCATCAACTGTGTTTACTATGAGGGGTATTTTCTTTCTCTATTATTATCCAACCCAAATGCAACATGGGGGTAAATCATGATATATTCCTATTATGACCCTTTTTTTCTTGGGTCTGAGATGGTTCTTTAGATTTTTGAAATCATCATGCTTTTAAAATAGGAAAAATAAAGTATACAATAAGATAGTTTACTTTTGAGTTTTATTCTTAGGAGAACTACAATCATCTTCAGCTATTGGATATGAAATCAAGCAATTTGGTCTCTTCGGAGACATCCGATAAAATTGGAACGATATAGAGATAATCAGCTTGGCCCCTGCACACAAGGATGACATGCAAAAATCGAGAAATAGTCTAAATTTGTCACCTCTGAAAACCACTAGAAACGGGTAGTGGCATGTATCCCACTTAACTACCCAAAAAAAAGAGTCAAAAAGTCAAGCAGTTTGGGATGTACAAAGCCAATTAAAAAAGGAAATCTTTTGAACTTTACAATTCCAGCTTGTCAAATGATACATCTAATAAAACCAAGTTATCAGGTTATGGGGTGGCAACGGGTCGGGTCTGACCGACCAAAACCAGACCCGACCCAGACCCAATCGGCCCCCACCCATCGAATATATTTTTCTTGGAATCATAATTTTTTCCCCCCAACTCCTAGAGACTTATAAATATCAAGCTTTCAAAGGCTCAAATAAATGGCAATATGGTGCCAATCAAGAAAAGGAAAACTATGCGACTTTTGCCATTGTTTATTCATGTGATCTTTCTTTTCTTATACTATTTTTTTTTTTTTTTTTTTGTAACTTCAGGCCTATTTAATTTGAATAATGATTAACAGAAAATTTCCAAAAAGATAAAAATGGTGCTAGTGATTCACCCCAAGACTTTGATTCACTGTAAAAATAGCTTGAGAATCTACGAAGTTGTTAGAAACCCAAGCTAATGTTTTAGAAATTAATTTATCCAAGTCAGACTCCAGCATGTTAGAAAATATCTGAACCAAAAAAAAAAAAAATTAAACCAAAAGGGAAGAGAAAATTACTAACCCTGTTCTAGAAACCATGTTTGTGAACCGATAAAAGCGATTGAAACCAAATGAGAACAGAGTAAGGAAAATTATGTAACAAGGTTGTTAATCTTTAATACAAAAAGGTCACCTTCAAAAGTTGCAAGAATTTTTTTTGGTGCTGCGTTCAGAGAAATGACACTAGTAGTTGCCTGATTTCGATGTCTTAGGACTGATTGTGACCTTGTGAGAGGATAAATGGCCTTATAATATGCAATCCCATAGAATAAAAGCAGAAAAACGTTTGCTACATCCCTATCATGAAAGCCAACTGAAATAGTAGGGGGTAAGGTTCGAATGATGGGCATGATCCAATATGCTAGAGCTACCCACTAGCCACACGTCGCTCATCAAGGCTTCCAATTTAGATGATGATCATTGAAAATATGGGGTGAACATGAACAAGAGAAAATGATATAGGCATGAGATTCACAATCTTACATACACAAACATCAACCCCAAATATAAGCTTCTCAAAGAAAAAGCCAAAAATGAAAATTAAATATTGAAATAATGGACCTACAACCTTGGAGTTCTTCAATAACATGTTGGCTAAAAATGCACACATTAGGCAATCACATCACATTTTAAACTGCAGATAGGCTCGCCCATTTCCCAAGCTCAGAGGGCTCAGCATAATAATATAACTTAATTTTGTTTGATAGAGAAAGGCCAGATGCCAAGGGGAAGGTCCTAATGTCTGAATCATCTTGATCAGATGGATCATCAGCAAAAGAGTCAATGTCCCCAAGAAGCTTAAAGCTCATTCTTCGAGCTTGAATTGGTCTCGAAAAATCAAAATACAGAGGTGTGCCTGGCTTCACCTCAGGTAATCTGTACTCACCGACTGAAACAAAGTTGTTCGGTTCCTGTAAAAATGACCAGAACAATAGGAAAAACTCACGACATATTTGAGAGAGAGAGAGAGAAACTGAGAGAGTTTGGGTTGTTCATCTTGAAGGAAATGATGATAATGCATATTGAGAAACTACATAAAATAACAGAATAGGATACTAAGACAAGATCACTTGGTTTGCAGAAGAAGAGGGAAGTTACAAACCAGACTGATCAAGGAAAAGTAAATACAACAGTAACACAGCATCCAGGAACTAAATAAAGGGCAAGACAAGCCTTGAGGTGGCCAGCACTGCTGGCCTTGATAAACTGTAGTTCCAGATTTAATGCTTGGAATATTCATTCCTCAAAAGGTAAAACTTTATATGTGATAATGTTTTGAATATCTTCTGTCTTATAGAGCCACAGCTCTATACAAACCGCACCCTTTAAGTATTCATTTAAGCTTTTTTTTAATAAGTATCAGAACCACATGGCCACAATAGGAAAGCCAAACAAAGATCCAGCTGCCCATCACTTCAAGGCTACAGGCATGTCTACTCTTACTGCTTATAGAATTAACTCCTCAAAAGCTCTTACAACTTAGCCCCTGAAAACCTTGAGAATAAACACCACTCAATCTTCAACCAAGGTACAACACAAACAGGAAATTAGACATGGTATCATTGATAAGATTATGAAATCATAACATGGAAAGTCACTGCAAGCTTAGCACCATGGAAAATTGGGTCTGATGTGGGAGCAATCACTGTCCAATGAAATGATGGATAATGATGACCTCAATGGCTCATATACACCATTGTCCACTGGACCATAGCACACTTCACGATAACTATATAACCGGAAATTCATCAAAACACATCTGAAATATCAATTGTAAACATTTCACATACTTAACACACCTAAAATATCAACTATTAACTCATGATTATGAGTCCTTTGTCCTTGATGGACATTCAAAACTAAAATAAAAAGAAATGAGTAGATGTGGCCAAAGGCCAAAATGCCACTATGAAAATTGCTTTACCTGTAGAGCTGAGACTTGAATGAATAGCACTGCAGGCATGATGTGCCGGTCTTCTAAACATGTCAAAGATTGGTCCCAAATACTCTTTTCCATAGAAGTAGGTGAATGGGTAACACGAGGCTTTATCACACTAAGAGCATCCAATCGAAACCCAGCCAAGCCAGGTGCAGCAGGTGATAAGTACTGTTCCAACACACAATCACCTTCATACAACCTTTCAGCCTCAATTGGAACCTACAACGATCGAACAAGAGTTAGACAACCAAAAGGCCCATGGAAAAGACCAATTTGTTCCATTTATTTCAATGGGGAGACTACAATCCAATGGCCTGTGGTATGTTCATAGTCAATTAGATTCATTCTTCTCCAATGAAATGGTGAATGGTGATTTTGAGAGAGAGAGAAAGAGAGAGAGGCCCACTAGAACAGGATGTGGCTCAATGGCGGGTCCCATTCTCTCCACTGCTGTGCATCATTTCATTGAACCAAACCCTCAAATTACGATTGTTCATAATCCATTAGATTATACTGTAAGTTACCCATTTCTTATTATTTAGTAACCAAAGATTTTAATTTATTTTAAAAAAGTTAGCAACTAAAGAATTTATATATGGGATTCGGAAATAAGTAGGACACCTTGAATCGACCTAGTTGTGGAGGTCTCTCCAACCAAGCTTTCAGATTTATCTTGTCAGAGCTTGGTATTGGTGCACCTGGCCCCAAATCTTTCCTGATGGATTTTCCCAACACCAACAACCTCTTTGCATGAATACAAGAGGCACTATTATCTCCAACTCCGAAAGAATACCGACGATTAACCGGATGAGAGGGGCCCTCTTCTAGTGAGAGAAGACTGTAGCCTCTCTCTAAAGAATTCATAGAACTCGAACCAGGATTGCGTAGCCCAAATATTATCCAAATGATACGACACCGTACGGGATTCCGAAAAGGGAACCTAAGGTGCCTCGGTACATCTTTCTCACTCTTTGAGTCTTCCGGACCAGAAAATTCAGAAGAAGAATCAATTAAGGATCGCATGTCCCACTTCCCCATGCAAGACCGTTCTTCTTTATTGACCTTGTTACTTACCCAAATTTGAACCTGCAAATAACAACAAAAAACTCATCATGGTAAAAAGTAGAGATGAAAATAAAGACCCCAACATCTAGTGATTGTGCGCAATATTGCACATGAAGAGTCACTAGGAGTTTAACAGAATAAACAAAGAACCATTTGGGTAAGCTAACTATTGCAGAGAGAGATCATCAACTATTTACAATGCTTGTCTAATTGGTTGGAAAAGGCAGGAAGGTAAAGGGAGGGAGGGAGAAAGGGAGGGAGAAGGGGGGGGGGAGAGAGATGCGCCTCCAAAGTTAGTCAATCCCACCATAGATTATTCTCAAATAGAAGATATGCAGCAGATGCATACAAGTTCGAGATACCAGATTCATATAAGTTTGAGATACCAGACTCACAAAAAGAGCCACGAGAACAAGTTTTTAGATTCCAAGAACCAAAAAACATAAAAATAAAAATAACAGTACATTGTATCATTGTTTCATATGTAATAGAAGCATTCATACTAAGGCAACAACTGAAACAATATCAAAATAAGATAATAACACTTAAAATCCTTACCATGGGAATGTCAGATGCTGAATAACCACAGGGACTGACAAGTAAAACAACTCCTGAGACATCGGATAGGTCGCCAAGAATAATAGAAACTTCAATATTGGAGGTACTTGGGGGAGCTCTCCAGTAAGACTTTTCTGATGCCATATCAAGAGGGGCAAGTAATGATAATGGTGGAGCAGAACCTACCGCTGTCTCGACCTGCAAAAAACACAAGATCATTTGTCTTTTATTTTGAAAAAAGAGGTCATAGTGAATGAATTCATATCAAATGGAAGGTACACCTACATTCAGGATTGAATTAAGAGAGAGAGAGAGAGAGAGAGAGAGAGAGAGAGAGTACTACGTAAGACACAACTAAGTAACTACCTACCAACCAACGAAGTAGTAACGTAAACGAGTAACGTAAACGTAAAAGTAACGTTAACCTTAAACCAAACTTAACCG